TCACCAAAAACAGATTCACTGCCAATAATATTTAAGAATTTCTGCTGGAAGTTTTTTCATGTGTTTTAGTGATGCAATTTATTTTAAAACAACGTTGACTTCTCTACATGCATAATGATCATTCCTACTATTGTTGAACGGGCGAGCAACCCTCTATTCCTGCTGCTTCCCTCTGCACACCTGACTGTGTGCAAGACGTCCCGGGACCTCAGTTCTCTATTGTAGAGGGAAGCTTTGAGAAATGTTGGATTTACTCAGTGCTAAAAATAGAAAATGCTAATGGAAGCTCCTTTTCCCATTGACATGTTAGGCATGTATTCCAGTGGCTGCCTTTATCCCCACATCTGTCCCAGAGCCTCAATTAATGTCACTTCCAATGAATTTTGTGTTATTTTAAACATAATTATAATAGATAAATAATTATTGTAAATGTTCATGAGTTACACAGTGATGTTTTGATACATATAATGTATAGGGGCCAGATTAAAATAATTAGCATATCCATCATCGCAATCCTTTTCATTTTATTGAGAATACTAACATACTTCTTCTACCTCTTTGAAACTCCATATTATTGTTAACTATATTCATCCCACAGTGGTAAATGACACTATAATCTATTCCTCCTACCTAACTGTAATGTTGCATTCTATAACAAATCTCTGCCTATCTCCCCCTTTCCACTACCCTTCCCAGCCTATAGAATCCTGTTTTATTCTTTACTTCTAGGAGACCTTTTTAATTCTTCCTTTCTTTGTTTTTTGCTTCCACATATGAGTGAAAAAACAAGGTCTATTACTTTCTGCTCCGGGCTTACTTCATTTAACATAGTGTCTTCCATTTCCATCCTCATTGCCACAAATAAGAGGATTTCATATCTTATGGATGACTAGTATTCATCATGTATCTGCACCACATTATTTTTAACCATTCATCTCTTCTCCAGCACCAGGGTTGATTTCATATCTTGGCTATTGTGAAAGATCCTGCCATATACATTGTTGTGCAGAAATCTCTGACATAATGATAATGATTTTTATTTCTTTGCGTAAATTTGCACAACTGGAATTGCAGGATCATAAGTTAGTTTCATTTGTAGTTTTTTGAGTTACCGCCACACTGCTCTCCATAGTGACTGTACTAATTTACGTTCTCCCCAACAATGTATAACAGTTTTTTTTCTCTGAATCCTTACTAGCATTTGTTAGAATTTTTCTTTCTTTTCTGACAACAGCCATTTAAAGTGAGGTGAGATGATATCTCCTATCATTCTGCAGGTTTTTTACTCACCATGTTGATTATTTCTTTTTCTGTGAAGAAGCTGTTTAGTTCAATTAAATCCCATTTGTCTATTTTTGTTTTCCTTGTATTTGCTATTGAAGTCTTAGTCATATTTTATTTGCCTAGGCCAATGTCCTGAGAATTTTCTCCTACATTTTCTACAAGTACTTTTACAGTTTCTCTTTATACATTTAAATATTGAATTCACAGTCAATTAATTTTTGTCTGTGCTGAGATGGAAGTCTGGTTTTATTCTTCTACATGTGGCTATCCAATTTTCCCAGCACCGGTTATTGAGCAGAGGTTTGTTTCTCCAGTACTGTGCTGTCTTTCTGAGTATATCTGTGTAGTTTGATTTGAAGTCAGGCAATGTGGTGCTTCCAGCCTTGTTCCTTTTTCTTAGGATTCCTTTTGCTATTCAGGCTTTTTTTTTTATTCCATATATATTTTAGGATTTCTGAAAAAACAGGTAAGCAATTATATTGGTTACTTGATAAAAATGCATTGCATATGCATATTGCTTTGGGCAGTGTATTAGTCTATTTTGCATTGCTATAAATCAATAGCTCAGACCAAATTATTTACATAATTAAGAGGCTTATTTGGCTTACAGTTCTGCAGGCTCTATGAGAAGCCTGGCCCCAGCATCTGCTCCTTGTGAGGGCTTCAGGAAGCTTACAATCCTGGTGGAAGGCAAAGGGGAAGCAGGGTGTGTCACATGATGAGAGGGGCGCAGAAGAGTGGTGGAGGGTTGGCAGACTGTTTTGAACAAGAAGATATCACAGTAGTTAATATAGAAATAATTCACTAATTACCATGGGGTAGATACCAAGCCATCCCTGAAGGATCTCTCCCCATGACACAAAAACTCCTAGTGGGCCCCACCTCAAATATTGTAGATTACATTTCACCATGAGATTTGGAGGGGACAATCATCTAAACTATATCATTTTACCGTTATGCCCTATCATCTCAAGTCCTTCTTAGATTGCAAAATCATCTTTTTAAAAAACAGTTCTCAAAACCGTAACTTGATCAACCTCCAACTGAAAATTCCAAAGTCTTGTCTGAGTCTTAAGGCAATTCCCTCCAGCTGTGAGCTGGCAAAATGTTTTAAAGAGCCATTTACTTTCAAGGTGCAATATTGCCACAGGAATTGGGTAAATATTGTCAATAAAAAAGGAATAAATTGGACAAAGGCACGGTCAACAGACCCCTACCACACCTAAAGCCTAGAAGAACAGATATTAAATCTTGAAGCTGCAAAATAATCTATCTTGACTTTATGTACTTCATTCAGGGCACACTGGGAAATAGGGGGTCCTAAAAACCTCAGGCATCTCATCCCTACCGCTGGGCACAGCCCATGTGGCCACTTTCACAGGCCAGAGTAAATGCCAGGAATTGTTCCAGGCTAAGAGTGCAAGCTGCATTTGTCTCCACCGTTCTGGGGTCTTGAGGGTTGTGGCCACATTCCCACAGCTTTACTATGAAATGCCCTAGTGGAGACTCTGAATGGGGGCTCCAGCCACATCTTTCCCCATCTTTGGCACCGCCTTAGTAGAGGATGTTTGAGGTGGATCCACCCCTGCAGCAGGCTTCTTCCTGGACATATAGGATTCCCTACACATCTTCTAAAATCTAGATATAAACTGCCCAGCCTCTTTTACTCTTGCATTCTGCATATCAGCTAGAATCCAGCTATCGCAACAGCATTTACTGAATACAGGAGAACGTCCTAGTGCTGTCTGGTCTCGCACACACACGTGGGACTCACGGGGGGGCCCAGGTCTTGACAGCCCTAGCTATTGGTGCCCAGCATGGGGAGGCCTGGGCGGACGTCAGGCGGGTTGTTGAACTTCCGGTCCAGCAGCTCCGGGAAGCTGTTCACCTCCACCTCCAGGTGGCGCTGTGGGCGTTTGCTCTCCTCAGTGTATGCCTTTAGGAAGCACCCTCTGTCTTCTGGGTTTTTTTTTTTTTTTTTTTTTTTTTTGAGACGGAGTTTCGCTCTTGTTACCCAGGCTGGAGTGCAATGGCGCGATCTCGGCTCAACACAACCTCCGCCTCCTGGTTTCAGGCAATTCTCCCGCCTCAGCCTCCTGAGTAGCTGGGATTACAGGCACGCGCCAACATGCCCAGCTAATTTTTTGTATTTTTAGTAGAGACGGGGTTTCACCATGTTGACCAGCGTGGTCTTAATCTTTTGACCTACTGATCCACCCGCCTCGGTTTCCCAAAGTGCTGGGATTACAGGGTTGAGCCACCGCACCCGGTCCCCCGGGTTTTCATTCCCTCGGCCACCTCGAGCTCCTTAGAGACACAGCCGCGCTGTGACAGGAGCTGAGGTGGGATTTCACTTTGTTTTCAGGGACCTTTCAGCTCCGTCTCCTGTTCTAGGAGCTCCGCCTCCAGCTCCTCCGTCCTCCTCTTGAGCTGCGTGTTCTTCTGCTCCTCCCTGTTGGTGTCCCGGCCTCTTCCCGGCTCCGCGCTGGCCGCCGCCTACTGCAGCGCCGTGGTCCGCGGGTCGTGGCTCTCCTCAGGGGCTGCAGCCGCAGCTTCCGCTCCTGCGCGGTGGCCGCGCTCTGCCTCACGGCGATCTCAGCGCGTCCTTCTCAGACTTCCGGTGCGTGTCGGCTGCAGCGGCTGAGAGGCCTTTTCATCGCCGCCCTCGACACTGGATGCCGCAGCCGCAGATGGGGCTTCACGCCCAGATCACTGGGAACCCTGACTCCAGGTCTCGGTTTTCTCCCGGGCCTTGTCTTTGGGCATCTCGGCAGCTTCCTCCAGCTCCTGGAATTTCTCTGCAAACGTTGTCAGCTGCTGCTCAGAGGAAAACCCCAAAGCAAACACCGTGTGGGCTCCGCTGTCGGCCCTGCCCAGACTTCTGTGGCGTTTTGGGGAAGGGCGTATTTGGTGCGATTGTGCTGTTGATGGTCGCCTTGGCCCCGCCCACGCTGACGATCTGACAGCGGTTCCTTGTGACGTCATAGAAGGAGGAAACGGTGACCGCTGAGCTCGCAGGATCCAGTTCTTCCTGATGTTGGGGACGATCTGGAAGCCATGGGCTCGGGCGAGAATGGGCTGTTCTGTCTCCGGCGCCATCAGACCAGGCGTCTCACGCTCTCTCTCCGCCACGTCTGCATCTGCTCCCGGCGTGGAAGATGTGGCGGCTGGCTCTGGGGTCAGCCCGGCACCGCCCCATTCCGTGGGGCGCACTGGGTGGCCAGGGCTCTGGAAACAATAATTCTAAGAGATAAATTAAGGGTAATTTCCAATAAGGAGACGTCCTCTATGTCATCTGAGAGAAGCAAGAAACATCATGGTTTCCATATAAAATGCATCGACGGTGTGTTGGCCCTGGGACTGCACCTCCCGCTTCTCCACCATCAGGGAACGCACTGCGGGGCACACGGCTGATCCCTGATGGGCACCTATAGCCCAGGGGGGCCTGCTGGCCATGCTGGACTTACTGTGCACCTCGTGGTGGTTGGGGAGCCCCAGCGAACTCCCCATTTCCCCTTCTCTGCTTGTGAAACTTGAATCCTGGGCGGACACTGTCCACAGCCTCACCCGGCCTCCTGCACACTTTTCTTTCTCCCTCAGTGGCACCTGCCTTGGGGCATTTGGTCATGGCTGCTCCTATAGTTATAAACTTCACAAACGTAGAAGCCTCAGTAGCAGGGACATAACTGTAAATACACAGACCCTCCCAGGGAACGTTAGATGCAGAGGAAGCCACAGGCCCTGAAGGAGAGCAGCCCTTGACCTGCACCTGCACCTGCCCTGGGCTGCCCCGTCCTCTGTGTATCCCGATCGCCCCCTGCTGGTTCCAGGCGCCCCTGCAGGAGGTTTGTGTCCGGGCTCACAATGACTTCCCCTCACTGTGTCCCGCACAGTAATACACGGCCGTGTCCTCGGCTCTCAGGCTGTTCATCTGCAGATACAGCGAGTTCTTGGCGTTGTCTCTGGAGATGGTGAATCGGCCCTTCACGGAGTCTGCGTAGTATTTTTCACCTCCATCATACTTTATGTTGGCCACCCACTCCAGCCCCTTACTCGGAGCCTGGCGGACCCAGTACATCCTGTAGTCACTGAACGTGAATCCAGAAGCTGCACAGGAGAGTCTCAGGGGACCCCCCCGGGCTGAACCAAGCCTCCCCCAGACTCGACCAGCTGCACCTCACACTGGACACCTGCAAACACAGAGACATCCTGGTCAGAAACTGCCACACACACCCACTGTTTCTCTCACTCATGTCCACACACACTCAGTCTCTCTATTTCTCCATGAATTACCTTTTAAAATAGCAACAAGGAAAACCCAGCTCAGCCCAAACTCCATGCTGAGTCCTGTGTGCTCAGTGCTGATCACTGATAGAAACACCTGGGAATCCTGGGGCTGGGGCTCCTCTCCCAGAGCTGCAGGGTCAGGGCTGGGCTGGTTTTCATCAGGAGAGGGAGGGCCCTATTTGCACGTCTGCTACTATATAGCAAGCTCTGGGGCAGGACGCCTGAGGAGAGGGCAGGGCCCAGAGCAGATGAGACTGTCCTGGGGGATTTAGATGACAATGATTGTATTTGGAAAAATGTGCTGTCTTATTGTGAAATTGTTCAGATAAACATTTAACAACTATCACATTTTTAATTATGTTTACTTATGTGTACAAATGGTGTTATTTAGAAGTCAGTGTTTTCCTCATTTACAGATGTAAAAGTGAACCCACACATGGAGGGGCTACGTGGTGTGTCTAAGGGCTCATATCTGCCATGAGTGAATCCTAGTATCCGGGACCATGCTCCTCACAGCTGGCCTCGATTGCTCTTAATCAACTCTAGGACCGAGCTAAATGGGCCTTGTGTGGTTTGGAGAATTCACTTTCTGCCCTGAGATCCTGTGTGATTTTTCTCTATTTACTGAGAAATGTGGAGACAAAGATCAGGCAGATAAATGTTGAGATTTACCTGACATTTAACATGTTTATTTGTTCCTTCCTACCATTCATTTCTTGTCTATAATTAAAGTTGTTTACTTATAATTAATTTTATTAGTTTTAATTGACAGATAATAAAATACATAAAATAAAATAAATACATAAATAAAATAAAATAAGATTGTGAGCATCTTGTCTACTTTGTAGTCCTAGAGGAAATAAAATTTTCATCGCTGAGTGTAATGTTAGATGTGGGCTTGTTATATGTGGCCTCTATTGTGTTGAGGTATATACCTTTTATGTAACTTGTTCAGACTTTTATAATGAGACTGGTGAGTTTAGTCAGAGGCTCTTTCTGCATCTATCGACATGAACATCCAGCTTTCGTCCTTCAGTGTTTTAATTTGATCCATCACACTGGGTTGTGCAGGCTGAACCTTCATTGCATGGTGGAAGTAACCACACCTGATCGTGGTGAATCACGTTTTAATGTGCTGTTGAATTTTGTTTCTCACCACTTTGAGAGGTTTTGAAACTCTGTGAATCACGGATATTGGTCTGTAGTTTTATTTACTGGTAGTGTCTTTTCCCTGCTTTGGACATAGGGCCTTCTAAAATAAGTTTAGATGTATTATTTCCTCTTTATTTTGTTGGAAATTTGAATGGAGATCCTAGTTTTTTTTTTAAACATTTGATAATATTCAGTAGTGAAATCATCAAGTTCTTGATTTTTCTTTACTTTGAGATGTTTAAAAAATCAGTGACTCAATCTCTTTACTCATTCATCTGTTCACTTTTTTTTTTTGAGACAGAGTCTCACTCACAGGCTGGAGTGCAGTGGTGTGATCCCAGTTCATTGCAACCTCTGTGTCCTTGGTCAAGTGATTCTCATGCCTCAGTCTCCCATGTAGCTGGGATTACAGGTGAGCGCCACCATGTCCAGCTCATTTCTGAGTATTTTTAGTAAAGGCAAAGTTTCACTGCATTGCCCAGGCTGATCTCAAACTCCTGACCTGGTGATCCACCTGTCTCCCTGTCAAATTGCTTGGATTACAGGCATAATCCGCCACACACAGCTCAGATTTTTTATTTCTTTATGGTTCAGTTTTGATAGGTTGTATGTTTTTGAAAATTTCTCTGTTTATTTTAATTTATCATATTTTCATGAAAGAAGTCTTTATTATACCCAAAAACTTGTAATGGCACAAAACGAACTGTTCATTACACATTATTGAGAGGAAACGACAACAAAAACAACCAAACAAGAGGACCTACTAATAGTTCAAAAAGGGATTAAACGATTCTGTAAAATTGAGCAGGAAATAAAAGGCGGGTGTGAGAGAGGACAGGAGGGAGAAGAGCAAGCCAGCAATGGTTAACTGTAAAATCTTCATGAATTAAAAGACTGTCATATTTGACAGCTGCCTATTAGGCAGGCTTTTGATGTTAACTGTGTGATACAAGCCATGAACAACCTTCTAGAACACACAGTGGGAGCTTCTCAGAGAATCCACTAGCAGGAGAGGTCCCCCATCCAGTTGCCATAGGGGCTGGGAACCCTCTCATGCTGTTGTCTGGTTCTTGCTCCTGAGGAAACAAACAGCCAGCGATTCCTCCCTGGGGGGAATGGAGAGGGCCCTGGGGAGGGCGTCTCTGGCAGCTCACTCTGCACCTGCCCTGTGGAGGGTTTTAGATGGACCCAGTGCTGGTTTCTCACACTGTGTCTCTCGCACAGTAATACATGGCAGCGTCCGAGGCCTTCAGGCTGCTCCACTGCAGGTGGGCGGTGTTGCTGGACTTGTCGGCTGAGAAGGTGATGTGGCCTTGGAAGGACGGGCTGTATTTGGTTTCAGAGTCACGAATATCAATCCTCCCCATCCACTCCAGGCCTTTCCCGGGCATCTGTCGCACCCAGCTGATCCAGTTGCCAGTAAAGCCAGAAGCCCTACAGGAGATCTTCAGCGACTCCCCGGGCCTTTTCACCTCTGCTCCAGACTGCACCAGCTGCTCCTCAGCACAGACACCTGTGTGGGAGACAGAACATTTGAATCAGGGAGTCCCTGTGCCCTCAAACCCTTCTTCTCTGTGACCTCAAACCCTGGGCAGGACTGACCTTGGAGAACAGCCAGGAGGAGGGCAAGGACGGTGGTTGACCCCATCCTGGAGGAGGACAGGAAAGGAAGCCCTGACATCCCAGCTGGGCGGTGAGGGAGACGCACTGTGGAGGGGAGCCCTGGGTTTAAGAGGGGAGCCCCCACTTGAATTTGCATAGTTGATGGCCTGGCCTGAAGGGAAGAGTCTACAGGGTTTATAACCCAGAAACGCGATTGCAGACAAAAGGCCGACCTGCGCCTCATGGGAGAGGCAGAACAAGGTCTGAATAATTCCTTACACCCTCCTCGTGCTCCTCCCACTCTGTCCGTGCTTCTGGAACAGCCATACCAGGACCGCCCTTCTTCAACCGTTCTCTGTGACACTAAGAAACTGGCAAATCTAGATGAAAGTATGCGCATTTAAAAATTAGAAATAGAACCAGAGGCCATGAAGAGAAAATTCAAAGGCACATATGCCTGATAACAAGAACAACCAAAAACTACTCTATTCCCTGGCAATTTTCCATGACTGTGACTATGGCCTGAACACACCGTAAGGGCAGGACCACCCCAGGCCCTCAACAGTCCTCAGCTTGATTAACTTGTCAGACCCTCACCCACGCAAAATCACACATCTTTCCTCATCATTTTGTCTTCTGGATTTTACACTCTGCCAATTCACCATAAATAGGGAGACTTGTTTGGGTCTCTGAATTGCTGATGGACCTGAAGGGATTTCCATCACTACACCCACTCCTGGAAGTGTTGTTTTAAGTCCTTTGTGTCAACCCCAGCTCCTTCTCGTCGAGTTCTTTCATTCTTTGCCTTTTATTTTATGCTACCCACATTGTGTGGAGGCCCTTAACTCTCCCCTGTGTCTGCCCCATTTTCCTGTGAACCACACTTATTTCCTTAGCATCTTCTGATCCAAATGGAAAGCCAAGGTGACAGAAACTGCACAGGTTCTAAAATGTTTGCAAGGTTATTCACAGGAATTGCACCTGGGGAGCAGAGCAAAAGGACTTCTCTTCAGCACAGCACAGGCCACGACCTGTGTAAGGTGCAGGCAAAGCAATGACCATCAGCATCACCAGAAACTCCCAGCAGCAGGTGATGCAGAATGTGCAGCATTGGCCTCCCCATCTGCAGAGCCCACTTTGTATTTCAAAGAGGGGAAAAGCAGACTCATCCTCCGGGCAGAGAAATTACACAATCTGGGATCCAGTGCACTGGGAAAGCTGTCCCATCCAAAGCATCCACGGGAGGTTGGGATCAGCTAAAGTCATGTGTGATGTTACTGTTTTGAGCTGTGGATCCAGCCTCCTCCCAGACATGCCCCTCCCTTCTGCAGCACAAGAAGCCAAACAGAATCTGCTATGTCAGCTCAGCCACTCGCAGTCCATTGGCTAATGTTTTTCACGTTCTGATGAGAGTAATTAATGATATTAATCGTATCGCAAAGCGATGCCACTTTCCACACTGTCCTCCCTGTTCTAGGTTTCTAGTGGGTTCCCCTGCCCAGCCCAACCCCTGGGCTGCCTTCTGTGTGGCTACTGTGTGTTGTGTGCTTCTCTTCTGCACAACTGTATTCGGTGGTGGTGGAGGGGGTTCTAGCAGCCTTGGGTCACAGGGCACAGTGCAGGGCTGGATGCAGCATCTTTGTATTTCATTTTAGCTGTCACAGATGTGAGTTGCATAGTCAGGTTTTTCTTCTTTATTTTACTTTTCCTTATTAGGGGATCACCTCTGAGGGAGCTGTGTCTATCATTTCAAATTTCCATGGATTCCCTCATCTTCCTGCTTCTTACTGGAGTGCACACGCCATCTCATGCCATGTGTCTCAGTAACCATCCAGGCATTGGATGACTTTATGTCACCATTTCTCATCCTTTGATGTTATAAACAAGGGTCTAGCCATGTGTCAGTCATCACAGTCTTTCTAGCAATTTCCACCTCTGATGTAATTGTGTTGAGTGTCCCAAAACCATCCTCAGGACCCATAATCAGTACAAATGAAGGACCCAGGACAAGCTGTTATTCTCATGGGTACAGCTTTACTCTAGCAGAGGAATATGAATTTTAATGAGCAAAGGCTCCAGGAGGAAGGTTCTGAGAATCCGGCATGAGCTTCCAGATGTTCTTTCCCTGAGGAGTCTCTTGTCCCCAATTCTCCCAGCGGTGATGAATGACAGCACATGTGACGCATTGTTCAAAGGGAAGTTCACCTGAGTGCTGGTGCCCAGTGCTGTTTATTGAGGCCCTTCACAGATGTGTGTGGCACCTGCATACCTGCCCTCCAGCACTCAGACAAGAGCTCTTTCAGCAAGGATGGGCAATTACCATAAGTCATTATGGAACAGCTAGGGTACTGTGCACCCAGAATACACACACACACACACACACACACACACACACACACACACACAATTTTTAATAATAATAGTAATAATAGGAATACAGGAATGCTTTGGAAGTGATGGCTGTGGTTACGACCTTGATGGTGGTAATAACTTTGCAGGTATACACTTATGCCAAACTCAATGAGGTAAGTATGTTAAATAATGTATAGTTTTATAGATGTAAACCTTACCTTAAAAAAGTGGTTTCAAAAATATTACCAGGAGGAGTATGCCAGAAAAGCAGATATCATCTCCCAGGAGCTGGATGCGGACCTAGCTTGAGAAAGGACATTTTCAGGAATGTTCAGGGTTTGAACACCCCAAGCATGCTTGAAAAACCTTTCCTGTACACAAGTCCAAGTGACATGGAAACAGGCTGCTGGGATAAAAAGCTCAGAAGAAAGCAGAGCGGAAGTGGTGGACAAGGTCTGACCCCACGTAGGGTCAGCGTGGATGGGAGGCGCTTCTGAGAGCCTGAGGATGGATAAGAATGTGGATCAGCAGCAGGAGAAAAACAAGGCAGGGGACTCTTTCTGAGCTGAGAGG